TTTTACCGTCTCTGTCCTGCCGCTTAGCTCCCCCCCGCCCGGGGCCCGGGGCCCGGTGCCCGGTGCCTGGGGGCGGGCCCGCAGGGGCAGGGCCTGGGGCCGCTCGGCCAGCTCCTGTCTTTGTTCGGCGAGGGCGCAGAGAGGCCTCCGCAGGCGCGGGAGCACCAGGCCTCCGCTCCAGGCTTCTTAGTCGGAATCCCCTAAGGGCTTGTAAGGAGAGCGGCTCGAGTCCGGAGGCTAAATGATGCCCCAGGGGACTTTTAAAACAAAACCCTAATTTCATTCGAAATTCGAAGGCCATGCGACGGCACAGACTGAGCCCAGGCAGAGGGGGCCGCGCAGACCCGAGGCGCCCCCCTCCCCACGCGGGCTTTGTGAAGATGGGTGACAGGGACCCTCTTGGGCCGCCCGTCCCCGACATCCGCTTCCCGCCACCCTCTCTTCCCGCTTTCGGGGCGCCACTGCCACCACCCCGGCCCCGCCCTTCCCCCAGCTCTTCCGCTTCCCTCCTCCTCCTCTTCCCGCGCCCCCTCCCCCAGTCGCCCTCCCCTCGGGTAATAAGGAACCAGTTCCCTGTCAGTGGAGGGGGTGGGCGAGAACCCTGGAGAGAGGCGCGGCCACGGAGCGGGGGCTCGTTTTGTGTAAAGAGGGCCTCGAGCCACCAGGGGATTCCTGGATTGTCTCAGGCTGTCGTGTGTGATGTCCATCACGCCGTGCGAACACCATCTGCTCGGTATTATGCCCTCAGTTGCCAGGCTACCTGCTGTACGCAGTAACACTTGACTGCCCGGCTCCGCGCCGCCCGGGGGCGGGGGCGCGGGATGGAGGCCTGATTAAGCCATCCGCGAGCGAGCGGGACTGCGGGGCGACGGCCGGGCGGACACCACCATCTGCTGGGCCCGAGAGCGAACAGCAGCGGCTCCGCCTTCCCCGAGGAGGAATGCCTGACCAGGACAGGCCCTGGGCATCCTCAAGCCCCTCATCCGCAGGGCCCGTCCCCTTCCTCTCAGCCCCAGAGCCTTTGTCATTCCCCACCCCCACCACCCCAGTCCCCAGGGAGCGCCAGCAGCCTTGGCTTCACCGCCAGCAACCGCGGCCCCTCTCACCCAAACACTTTGCTTTTTCTTGAAAACACTTCAGAGAAATAAAGCTTCCCGACGCACGCACAGATTTATAAATAAACAGCTGGCTGCTCTTGGGAGATATTTTTACCACAGCTGTTTTTTTGAAGTCAAAAACTGCCTCTTTGGAGGAGGGAGGATGTTGTTTTTACACCTCCTACCTCTCTCTAACCTTTAGGAAAGTGCTAAGATTTTTTTTTCCCCTAGAGGGGACAAGATGTAAAATAGGTTCATGGGTTTTGATTCCCCGCCCTTTATCTTGCTGAAGGGTGGGAAGAAGAAGGTGGGCATAATGGTTAGATGTAACCAGTTGGATTTCTGAGGGGAAGAGACTGTATTAAGATTCTTGGTGGAAGGCATGGGAGGTCATTGGGCAGGGGGTGGAGTGGAGAACAAGCCAGTAATTAAAACTAAAAATACTGCATCATCTGGCTTCAAGACATTGCATTTCGCATGAGGAAAGCTCAAGCTGCCTTTTCCCCCTGCTAATTGCACTCCTTAGAAACCAGAGCACTGAGATGTGACAGGCTCTTCCCCATTCAGCCCTCTCAGACCGAGGTTAATGGGAGCTGCATCATGTGAAGCAGTTCAGAGCCTCAGCCAGCTTCCTGGGCCTCTTCACCCTCTTAACTGCACACCTAAAGCTGGGCTGGGTGCTCCTTTCACCCGCTCTTAAAGGCAGCAAAGATCTCTGGTGAAGTCTTAAAGGTTCATCCACCTGGAATTGTCAGTGTTTAACTTGGAATGCCAGGCCCCCCCGGGTGGCACAAATGCTTTACCCTTTCCTATTAACTTAAGGAGCCCTAGTAGTAAGGTGAGTTAAGTGCTGGGCTGCTATACTAAAGGTGGCCAGTTCAAACCCAGCAGCTACCCTATGGCAGAAAGGTGAAACATCTCCCCTAAAGATGTACTACCTCAGAAACCCTATGGAGTTGTGCTCCTTGGGACTAGATGGTTGTTATGAGTCGGAACCAACGGACAGCCAGGAATTCGGCTTACCAACCTGAAGGGGAGGCCATCCAATGCCACGGAAGACTTGACATTCTGCTACTATAAAAATTTCAGCCAGGAAAACCCTGCCGGCCAGCCCTACCTTGTAACCCGTGACTCGGTGGTAACAGGTTCAGGGTTGGGTTGGGTTGGGTTGGTTGGTTTTAATACAGAAGGCAATCCTTTAAGGATATAAGGGAGCTTCCAACAAGTTTGTGGAAACATGAAATTCAAAGAGAGTGGAATTTCGCTGTGAACTTTGGGAAGTTCCACCCCCACTCCCTGCATACAAATCAGCCCCTCCTCGTCTTCCAGGGGTTCAGTTCTAAGGTGAAAAAACAGGAATGCAAAACCTTGGCAGAGGGTTTGGGGACAATGTATAGCTGAGAAGTGATACCTGGGCTATTCATTTGGAGGAAAGTGTGTGTGTGTGTGTGTGTGTGTGTAGGTTTAAAGTAGTCCTTTTGCTCTGGAAGACAAGGACAAAAAGTGGGAAAGAGTACTCTCCTCTTGAGCCCATTTGCCCTTCCCTTTCTTTCTCTGAGTGAAGAGGAAGCTGGAAACGCAAAACGTCTCTGCTTGCCCATTCTTGGCCTGCTCCTCAGCTGAACTGAGTGGTCACACAGGGCCAGAATATCTCAATGTGCACCAAGATATGCAGGGCCAGCCCAGACCAACCCGCTCATTAAACCAAGGTGTATCTTCCCTTGGGCCTCTTTCTTTCCACTCTCCCCTCCTTATCAAAATCGGAATAAACCCTGTGGCAAATATACTGATATAGACAGAAAAGAAACATCTGCATATCTGTAGTCGTGCTGTTTGATTAAGACAACTGATGTGTGAATTAAAGTGGTAAGCCATTTGTCCCTGAAAGTGGCAAAACAGAAAACAGCTTTATTCCCATTGGGAAGAAGGGCTTAGAAAACAGAGAGGGACACAAATGAGGAGGAGGGAATATCCTGAAATACTTAGACTTTCCCATGAGTCAGTCGGAAAGTTACCTTTCTGGTAGCAAACATAAAGGTTCCTGGCATTTTTTTTGAAAATAAGTTCTTTTTATTAATGTCAAAAATATTTCCTAGCTCTGGACCTAATAACTATTGACAGACCACGCAGGCTGACAAAAACTGTTGAAATTGACTTTGATTCACCTCTGCAACAGTACTTACGTACACTGGGAAAACAGAGCAGTTGACATTTAGGGGGGACACGCTCTGCAGTCTGCCTGAGTTGCACATCAAGATGCGTCAGACTCTGGGAGTGTCCTACGATCAAGTTCAGTGCTCCACTTCCGGTGCTTTCACGTACTAGCCTTGACCCTGGGCGACTGGGCCAACAAACCTGGTCACTACCGTTGCCGGTGTGAAAGGAGTGGTGGGTGGTGTTTTGTTTTCAGTGGGGGTGTTTGTGTGTGTGTGTTAGCTTGTTTCTGTTGCACTTGGATGGATGGCGAGAGGGAAGAACAGGCAACCACACACCGCATAGGCATCTCTCAGATGGAAAGACGAGCATGAACGGCCTGTTGTCATGGGTCCTGCCACGTCCATTGTGACTCAAGGACCCCGGGCTGTGGAGTAGAAAGACCCCATTGGTTTCTAAGCCTCAGTTTTTATGAGAGTGGCTCAGCAGGTCTTTGGATTAGCAGCCAAGCTGAGCAGCAAACAGCCCTGAATGGACTCCCCAGAGCCCTCGCATTCCTCTGTTGTCCCGTGCTGGGCCGCTCCTACGGCCCCTGGTAGTGCAACCTCTGATGAACTCCAAGGCACACGGCCGTGGGACATTCAGACAGTGTCTATCAGCTGTTGCCAGGTGTGCTGGACAGAACGAACAGGGAAGGAAGTGTCTGTCCTCGCCGAGAAATGGGCTCTTGGGGTCACACCTTCATGCTTCTCATTAAGGCCTCCGCACTGACTGTCACAGGCTTCCTTCTGAGCAGAGCCCCCAAGCAGAGACTCGGGCTGGTGTGATTAGGTCCTTAACCACTTTACCTCCTAGTCCCCGGGGAACAGCCCTTCACGTTGCCATCACTGAACGGATTGACACCCAATTATAGAATCAACAGACTTAACTCCAGCCACCCACACTGAAATTACCCCAGGCACATGAGACTCAACCCTATGTTTAAAGATGTTGGCAGATGATATCGCTTTGGTCTGTGGCACCTATTCCTAAATCTCCCCCATCAGCTCTTGCCATCAGATGTACAACCTCGGAAGGAGGCTGCATAAAGTTGGTGGAAGAATGGGATGAAAAGATCATGGGATTTTTCCCACCAACTTTTAGCTCTGTAGTCAAAACTCTCCGGTCAATGAGAATCCACCAGTGGATTCCAGAGGGCTTCGGTAAATATTTCTCCTATGTGCTAACGGGAAGTCCGTTCTGACCAAGTAGGCAGTAAGTTTGAGGTGCGCCCACTCGGAGGATTTCTCTTCCCTTTGGAGGAATCGGGGGTGTTGGCAGAAATCCCTGTCCTCTGCCGTTCCTCTGTCTGGCCTGAAGCCCATGGGACGTGGTCTCCGATTTCCAAGAGCTTTGCTCCTGCTCTGGGGACTAGAGAGGTGACAGGAGGGCAGTCACAGAGCAGGAGCAAGGCGAGTTGTTCTTCAGGAAATGTAGTGTGTGTGTGTGTGTGTGTGTGTGTGTGTGTGTGTGTGTGTTCATTGTTTTGTGTATAATGCATTCTACATCCA